TTATAAATTTGGTAAAAAGCTTTTGGGAAGCAGTTTTCAGATGTGTAGAAGAACATTAATATCTTTATGTCTTTTCAGTCTGCTACTTGGGTGTACTTATCCTAAGGGAAATAATTCACAATAAAGGCAAATGTATGTTCATCATAGTATAATTCATAACAAAATGCTAAAAATTTTAAATTACATTTGAAGAGAGAAATGATTGTCTTGTTATGGTGCATCTGTCATGTATCTAACATGTAATTAATTAAATTTTTGTACTCAAGGAGTTTTATATAGACAAAGGCTTATCTGGTCTATGCATAGTGAATCCGGAGAATAAGTACCAATGACTTTTAGGAATGATGGTTTGTGGGAAATGATTTTAATCAGGCAAATAGAAAGCAAGAACATGCTATTTTAAGATTAGGACACAATTTCTTAAAATGTTATCTGATACTCTTTGCATTAGGGTCCTCTCAGACACTTGGTAAACATGGAGATATGCTGGGCTAGTGGTATAGTTCAGTGGTGGTTTTTGCTCTTGACTAATCTTTTTCTTTCTTTTTTATTTGTTTTAATGAGAAGAAAAGATAAAATAGCAATAAAACAGTTTCAAAACAGGTTAGTAGGATGGTTACAATAATTAATACATAGCATATTTTCTTCATAGTAGTTATTCAGAGGACAAGATGCAGATGTGATATGTTTGGTTTGTACAATATTAGTACAAACTTCTATTCTCATTAAACTAAGAGATAGTAGCTGCATATTTATCTTCTCTTATGTATATGTATATATTTTTTCTCTTTTTTTCACAACAAAACGGTCCTTTATTTACACTTTTGTGAAGTTAGTAAAGCATGACACTAGGTTGCCTAGCAACTGATAGCTAACCTTAACCAGAGAGGATGTTCATCTCAGGAGTGAGGTAGCTTGTTTACTTACAAAGCTAGGAAGTCGATCAAATAGGTATAGGTGAGATTTGGCCCAGTGTTGTTGACTAATCTGCAAGAGGTGCTGGGTTTGAGCCTCTACACAAGGAAAAAAAAAAAAAAAGGAAAAGAAATGAAAGCAAAAGCCCAATCTAAGTCAGAATCTGCGCATGGGCCTCAGCTATTTGTATTTTAAAAGATACCCTTCTACCGTAATCTGAGTGTCTCTAAGAAGCACCAGCTGAAGAAAACAAAGGATTTTGCAAAAACATTTTATCTCCTCCAATGTTTATTAAACTGAGTTACAGCACTTCAAAATCTTTGTAAGCACAAAGTACTTTGCTTCCTAGGTTAATCAGAATTGGCGGGTGGGGAGACTACCCACTGCTTTCGATTTTGTTAGAGATTTATATTGGCCATTCCCTGAAGGTCTCAACAGCATAGGTAACACTGCTGGAATGAGTGATCTGTGTGGTGGTTATAGGTAACTTGTAGGCTTGAAATCAAAAGCTGATTGGTCCTACTTTTGCAAAGTGAAGTTATTTGCATAACTTCCCAGTTTCAAAGAAAGTAAAAATTCTCTCTCTCTCTCTCTCTCTCTCTCTCTCTCTCTCTCACACACACACACACACACACACACACACACACACAGATTCATGATCTTGATCCTGGCTATGTGCATATTTTTAGAGTATTGCATATTGTAAAACTATTTTTATATTCTAATCAATTACCCCACCTTTATGACCATCAATGCTATAAAGTATAGATTTACTCTATCTTTTCATTCCATATTATTATGTACTGAGTAAAGTTACTTCTTATACTTTTCCCTGTGTAAACCCATATAGGATTGATTAGTAGTAAAATAAACATCACTAGGGCCTACTCAACTTTAGGAAAAGAACCACCCCCCAGAACCACAACCATATCAGGTCAAGACAATTGCCAGGAGAAATCCTTTATATTATCCAATTACACAACACACTTCTTGAGTAAATGACATATCCTAACTTGGGGTACATCACCAGATTTAAATCAGAGAGAATCCTCTGCCAGTCAATAAGTGTGCGAGTCACAGGAAGATCCCTTCTTAGAATTTTTTTCAGGACTTCATTGGATAACTCCTGTAATTCCTCAAAGAGGGCAATTTGAAATTTATTCTCTTGATCTTCCACGAGCCTTGCAAAACTTAGAGCCAGTTGAGCTTGGTTAACGACTTCCAAACTTTCTTTCACGTCCTTGGAGATTTCAATATGAAGGTTGACACACCGGAAGAAGTGAGCTTGCACAAAAATCCTTCCTGTTACTAGTGTTAGAAATGGATTCACTTGAAAAATCCATTTAGATTTCCAAAGACCATTCCAGCATTCTCCTGTTGCATAGTTGTGGTCCTCAATGCACGCTATCAGAAATTCCTTATTTTTGATGGTTTTTCTCAGCACATTGCAGTTTCCAGCTGGAAAGTGATCGTTCACGTATAGCTTTAAGGCGCATAGGACAACCGCTCTCAGGTACTCTGTCTCATTCCGAATGATGCCATGACTCTTGATATCTTTCAACTGATTTTGAAGCAGGTCAAATTTAAAAGACAGTTTGCTTTGATGGTCAAAAAATCGGTAGTCGCCCATTACATTGTGGTGAGACAAGAGTACTGGGTTCCCATCGATGCAGAGTGGTACACAGTATTTTTGGCAGTGCTGGTGGCCTGCACACTCACCTTGATGGTGCATAAGTTTTTCATCACGGATAAGCAGACAGAGATCATCAAAGGCATTGACAAATTCCCCTGGCGGAGCCTGTATTAACAGTCTGCGAATGACTCTTTCTTTCTCTTTCCGACTCAGGACACTAAGTGCCATGGTTGGTGGTGGCAGAAGCAGAGCTTCTGAAGTAGAGAGTCTTCAAAAGCTGAGATAACATTCCATGAGAGGTGCTTTCCATCAAGGTGTTAATCATTCAAGTTTGAGATTACTATGTCCACCCATGAAAATAGGTGGCCAGGCAAGCTCTGAGCTCCTGTTGAAGTCACAAAGAAGGCTTCTGTATGAAGTGTGGAACCTTTGATGATATCACAATGAGTGTTCAGACCCAAGGAAAAAAATGACAGTCACCTAACAGCATGGTGCCCAGCCAGCCAGTGTGATATCAGTGTTGAAGATTGTTAAGAACATAGACTCCTCAACAGGCTTCTTCAAAAGTGGTGTGTCTCTCTATGTGTTGTGTGTTGTTTGGTATCTAGAGAAGTAGTTGAGCAGCTTCTACTGGCTGTTTGAGAACATGTTACTCCTCCAGTAATCACAATGGCATTGATTTGTACTGAGGCCCTTAGGATAGCTGCCTGACCAGGGGGAAGTGCATTGTGATGAAAGATTTGAGGGGTTTCAACAAAACAGTAAAAATAAAACAAGATACAATGTCAATTCATCAAAAATGCCAGACAGAAAGAAATGCTACATTTCTAAATGAACAGAATATAGACAAGAAGCCAAAAGTTTTAGGCAGGATCATGCTAGGCCCATGTCTTGCTTGATGTTTTTGTGATATTTAGATATGAATTAGTTTTAAAGAACAAGGCAACAAACTATGTGTTCTCTGCTCTCCCCATAGAAAAGTGGTGCCAGTGAAAACAGCTGATGAGTATCAAGAAATTCCCTTTCTGCAAAAGAGGCAGAATTAGTTATATTTGGAACTTGTGGCAACTCAACCCAGCAGAAACTTCTAAGAGAGGAGAAACGACGAAATGGCACCGGCGGGTCATGAAAGGACTGAAACGAAATATCCATTTGGAAGGGTTTTCTATTTCCTTTTTTTTCTTCCTTCCCTCCTTCCAAC